AGTTCTTGAGCAAAGTGCAGCATCAGAAGCCGAGGGAGTTCCCCTAAATGTTATAAAAATGAGTTTATAAAGAGAGATGTTACATTTTTAATGCTGATTTAAATAAAATTGTGTCCTGAAATCCCCTCATTGCACAAGAGTGTAACAACGAGAGATGACAATGAAAATAGAAGCCCCTGCTGGTTTAACCATCTGTTACTTAAAAGGTCAAACAAAACATTTCATCATCCATAGCAGGAAAAAAAAAAGAAGCTGCACCGCTGACAGCGACACACTTAATGTGTGTGAGAAAAATAACATGGAGATAATGCACATGATTAGAGGAGGTGAATTTGGAAGGTTTTTTTAAATGACACGCGTGATGTTTCTCACGGGGGTGAAGCTCCCACCTGCTGTTAACATGAATAAAATTAGATCCTTCATTAGATGTGTTTCTATGATTTAAAATGCAGGTGTGATTTTTACACAATGAGCCTTACAACCTCTGGTCAAGGTCATCCAACACCTCTAGTCCCTACCAGAGCAGAGCAGCAGCACTGAATAATTCCTAAGGTTTAACATTAATAACCTCCCTTGGTTTTCTTCTTCTATCTTACATGCAATCTTTCAAATACTTTCCTTCGTACTCATCATTTAACAACTTGTTCCTGTGCCACCCTTATGCTAAACATGTAGTAGTCTCTGTGTCCTCGCACGACTGCCATCAGGAAAAATCCAGGTTTGACAAACTTTAAATTACAATTACTGCACATCATCACATTTTGATTTTTATTATCTGGCCTCAGTTTGCCAAAAATATGAGGATTGTTCTCACACAATAGGGATATGAGATTAAGCAATGAATCACTTGCTCTGAATAGAAACAATTACCTGCAGTGGATATTGAACACCTGTAGCTCCACTTAGCGTGATTTAACCCACTAGAACAGATCATGCAATGCTGCAACAACTATATACAGCATTTAAAACGCTTTACAATGTACAGTATGTAGCCAGGAATAAAGCAGTGTAACCTACACTGACTTCAGCATTCATTAACCACACAAACAGTCAAAATTATTCTCTCAACTCAAAGGTGACTTGAAGGTGACTCATTAAACTTCATTGATACATTTCCAAGCGCATAAATTAACGCTTAGTTACTGAGCATCTCCTCCATTTTCTGACTGGCTTGCAAACAGTACTTGCAGCCTGTTTGCAAATTACCCAGGAGGATTTGGCACATGCAATGTTTCCAAGGAGAAGTCAGTCAATGTCGACTCATTTCTGCACTCATCGCTAAAACCCGAAAGGTTGTCCAGGGAGCGCCACACTCCCTGTCAATGCACTCACAAAAAGGAAGCAATCTCCCTCTTCCAAATTGTAAACATTAGCCTGGTGCCTGCACGATTGCCTTCACACCAGACAGTGCATCAAGCCTGTAGAAGGAAACCAGACAGAATTTTTGCATATGGGACACTGCTCTGACTAAGTCAGTGCTGTTTCCCTACGAATAATGAATAAACTGTTGAATTTAAATTGTTGTTGCCAAATCTTTCAAAATATTTTTGGACACTGTCATGACACTGCAGCTACAGCCCAACACTCCTGACAATGCCGCTGTTTTGTTTTTAGCTGGCTGGAGTGTGTGTTGGCATTTGGACACCTTCCACCGGGGGATGTGTCTAACAAAAAAAAAAAAAAAAAAAGAAAAAGAAAGGAAAAAAAAAAGGCCATTACACTACGAGGCTGCCAAATGTAAGCATATGGCTCATTGTCCCAGCTTTTCTTGTCAACACAAGGTGAGATGTCTCATTATAACATTTACACAACAAAGCACTGCAAATGTAAGCTTACTCTTAGGTTTGCAAGTGACTGTGTGATAAAAACAAAAACACATCATTCTCTTCTCATTTCAGCAGCTGAACAGCATGGTCTCCAACAGCACAGTGTGAATAAGTGGACTAAATTTTACCTAAATGACACCAGCAATAATTTGTGTTTATGTTACATATAGCACCCAGCAGCCAAAGCTTTAGTAAAGGTTTTTCAGTTTTTTAGCTGCTCCTCACTGCCACACTGTATATTTAAGGCAGGCTGTTCTTATTCACTATGAAATGTAATGCATTATATTCTCTTTATAACCCACGTAATCGCGAGGCAGCAGGCTGTGATCATGTGACCTTTGCACTGCAGGTTATCCCCTGTGATATGACTGGAGTGAAAGAGGAAGTCACATAGTATAAAGAGTGAAAAAAGTCTGCACAGGGAGGAAGGTCGGGGTTGTTGATGGGTCAAACTAAGACAGGACTTTGACCAAGGAGACTGGGGTTTGTGTCCTGTGTGAAAGCAAAAGTCAATATTATGTTACGAAATGCTACATCTGTATATAACGTCACCTCTAGGGCTGCCCTGACTAAGAATTTTCTTAGTCAACCTTAGTCATTTAGGGTCATTAGTTGACTAGTTATTAGATAACATATTTTGGGGCGAGGCAACACAATGGTTTGAGTTGAAGGTGTGAGAAAGAATAATATCAGTAACATTGTTAACACTGTGCTACACTACAGAGAAATACAAAACCATACTAATGTACCTTCATTAATATAGGCCTATATTTTATCTACACATGCACGTCACACACTGAGCGAGCCGCCTGTTAATGACGCTGTCAGCAAAGCAGTAATGATTGTGCTAAGTGGCTAATGGGCATGTAGCTACTTCCATGTTTCAGATGATACGTCATGTTTGTAGTCGACCAATGAAGATAAGTTTACATATCACCTTGGGTTCATCCTTCACCTTCTCAAAATGATCCCACACTTTGGATTTCCTGCCCGACATGTTATTAACTAGCCTGTGTGTAATAACCGCAGGTACCAGCCCTGGAAATTAGGGGCCTTGCACATACTGCATCTTTAACAGCCTGGAAATGGGAGGTCGGGCTCTGGGCGCTACTCTTGTGACTTTTCTGTGCCAGTCTTTAAGAGCGCAGCAGCAGGTTGCATCTGAGGTTGCTAAGCAACCTTAACAAGCATCATAGAGCCTATTTAGCTGAAATCCTGAGTGCAGAGCTGATCTTCATTCGGTTGCTGTTTATAAGTGTGTAGGCCTATCGACATAGGAGATGTACTGTAGAAATAGAGAGATGTAAAGCTCTGGGTAACACTGCACTAAAATGATCAACATTTCTGTATTTATGGGGCGTCGGTAGCGTAGTGGATAGTGCCAGTGCCCCACGTATAGAGGCAATGGCTCGCTGCAGTGGTCGCAGGTTCGACTCCGGCTTGCAACCATTTGCTGCACGTCACCCCCTGCTCTCTCTCTCACCCCATTTCACTTTGTCCTGTTCATTAAAGGCAAAAGCCAGAAAAAATAATATTTAAAAAAAAACAAAACTTTTCAGTATTTATCTGAATATTTACAGAAAACTGCAGTTACTCAAATGGCCACTTGAGGCTGGCGAAATAAACATGTTTACAGCCTGGTACAGAGAACAGTTTTGGTCTCTTTAGCTAATTTCATGACAACTGCATGGGGGTGAATTTTTATATAATTCACCCTATTAAATATTACTAAGGCTTTTATAATTAAGGGCGTGGCTGCTTTGGGTGAAAGTTTGGTGTCGTCCATTGACAAGTCGCTATCAAAGTGACAACATTGGTTAGGTGGCATAACCATGCCGTAACTCCAGACAGGAGTCAGGCATAGTTATTGCTGTTTTAGTGTATTCCCAGTGCATGAAAGTTAATTGTTACATTTTGCTTGCCTAAAAAAGTCTGGTCAGTGTTTGGCTGTATTAAAAGACCCTCTAAAGAGTCAGATGAGTGTTTTTCCAGTGCAAAAATCAGCATTAGCATTGATATTATCAAAGTTATCATAACTAGCTAACATAACTACTAACTGTAAGTTAAGCTGTAAGTCTAACCTAGCCAGCAGCTAGAGTTAGGGTTAGCTCCACCGTTTCATCCAAATATGGTCACTTCTGGCTCCAAACATCCAAGATGGCAACGGACAAAATGCCATAGTCAGAGTCCACAAACCAATGGGTGACGTCACGTCGGCTACCGTCATTTTTTTATACAGTCTGTGATCATGATGTGTGTAATGTATGCAAAATGACTTAAACAATGAAAAAAAGAGAGATAAAATTAACCATGTTCAACTCTTTGGCATTAAATGAGATATTTAAATTGTCATGTTACCATACAACCAGATGAAACACAATAACATTAAATCATGGTGGTAGAATAATATTACAAGATAAAAATAATACTAAAAGTAACCACAGCTTTTTGACACAAAACATTTTACGCTCTGGCTCAACTGGAAATACCAGTATATCCTTATAACATACCTTAAGAGATCGCCACAAAATGGATGAGTCGATGCTTTTTCAAAGAAAACTGTCTGTGAGAAAAACACCTACAGTAAAAACCCTATCAGTATAAAACTTATCTTCAGCAATAATGTCTGAAAGCTCCTCTCCACTCCTGCTGTGTGCACTGTGTTACAGTACATCCAGATTCTCCAATGGAGAATTAGGTTCAGCCTTGCTCGCTGGAGAAACTAAAATCCAATCTCCAGACCCCTGTGTAGGAGTTAATAGCACGGGATGCTAACTCCCAATGATAATGTCATGGATGCAAAGGGCTGATGTGAAGCAAACAAAGCACCTTCAGAGAGAGGCTCTATTACTCAGCTTGGCAGGGCCCTAGCTACAGACAACCTCTCCAGTCTGCATGCCAAAGTTTTTCCTTGCCCCCATTGAAAATCAGGCTGACAGGCCTGAGTGTCCCAAAGTAAAAATGACTCACTCCACTGACCTCAACAACACAAACAAACAGCCAAGAGATCTGACGGGGAGAGCACAAACGTGACTTCCTCTTTGCCCAGATAAACACGAGATGAGCCTTTACTGATACTGATAGTTTTAGTGGAAGAGCAGCGCATATGACTAGTTGCGTAAGATAGTGATTAAAATAAAAATCACACGATAGAGAACATCAGAACAGTCTTACCTCCAGAGTGGGGTGGTGGGCCACACAGTAGGACCACTCCTTGACCTTCACGAACCCTCACTGGACTTCTTCTCTGGGTCTTGAAGTTCTCCAAGTCTGTTAAGCACAGTACAAAAGCAATAAAGCAAAAATCATAAATTCATTCCTTGCAAAAGCCATACGCAAACAGGGCATGTCCAGTTGTTTACAGAGATAAAAATGCACTCCAAGTCATATCTGTGGCTGCTCAATAATTTCCTATCTGGTTAGAACACAGCTGCAGACCAGAGTTCAACAGTGCTATATGATGCAGAACTTTTGCATATAGTCATGAAACATGCTATGTTTGCATAAATGCAGACAAAGGGCTGTAAAGACCTAAACACTTCTGACTGGAGCAGAAAGCAATTCCTCAAGTATAAGTCACACATGAGTGAATTTAATTGGAACTGCACATTGTTATCACTTTCTGTGTTTCATCCACTGCACACAGACCAGTAACAATTAAATGACTAAGACTGAAACATCATTTGTATGGAGACTGATTACTTGTTGACAACCTGCTGAGAGAAAGCAAATAGAGACAGCAATCCTTGAACACTTTGCCTTTTCTTGCCTGCTGTGGCTCTTGGAGATATCGCAGGCAGTGCAGCCATATGCGGCTGCCATATAATGACATAATCAAGACTGAATTCAAAACCAGGGAGAGAGAATGCAAAACTGACACCTCCTGTGTACAAGCACAGCAGGATGAGCCGCTGCATAATAAATACAGTACGTGATCTTTGCAGACCTCGCGAGTAATGGAAAATTGCATCCAGCAGAACGGTACTGCATTATCACAATTGAAAGCAGCTTTCTTTTGGTTCACAACTGATTTAGCGGAAAGCTTCTGTATGACTTCACAAATTAATGAGGAGATCATTAAGTTATTTTCATATTTGATGCGGACAGATTGTGTGAATGCTTCAGTGGCCAATTCTACATCTATGGCTGATCCGTGGGTAACAATTGCACGAAGCCTCTTTGTGCATGAACAGATTGGGCACCATTAGGGTCCCTCTGGACCAGCAAGCCGTCTACACTGTAGATCCCTCTAGATGTGATAAAGCTCCTTAGTGAATGTGAGAAATGTATTAATTTATCCTTTTTATGCCGCTTATACCAGAAATGTTAATAAAAGCAATCATTTTCAGACCTCTGATGATGTTCATGTAATGTCATGCTTTACTTCACTTCTTAAAGTGGAAATAGATACATTTTTTTTACTTCAGCTTATCATTATGAAGTAAATGCTGATTGCACAGTGTAATGGAGATAGAATAATGAAACTATCAGCTTTTAGATTGGGTCCCTAGAAGCCACTATGCAATTCTGTCTGCTACAGGGTACAATCTCCTGTGAAAATGAAGGCTTGATTTACAGCACAAAGAGAGTCCATCAACTATTGTGCAACCAAAACAGACAGAGAATAGCACTTTTGTTTTTTTTCAGTAGGTATCGCTAGCTATCCCAAGTTACCAAAGAGTATCAGCACTGTGCAGTTAATATCCCCAGTGGCGTACATGGCAACGGTGGAACAACCAAAGTAAGTGTGGAAACTGTGGTAGTAGCTAGGTTCTGAAAATGAGAAATGATCCATTTGTCTTTGCAACAGCAGCACCAATTATAATATCAATAAGGGATGCTTATAAGGGAAATGCTTATAAGGGAAAAGTTAAATAGTTGCCTGTTTCCACTGTAATTTAACATCAGTGGGGTAACCACTGTGAAAAATAGAAACCACAGTAAGTCTTCAAACTGAATTAAACCTAAAGCTTTGAGACGGTCACGACATCCAGTAGTTGGCAAAAGCCATTGCTTGCAATTGGCATTGGAAACTCAGAGCAACAGAGATAAAAATCATCTTTCAGCTGGCTAATCAAAGCATATAATTCTGATCTTGTTTCATCTGCTTTGTTGAAATAGATAGAAACAAACATTTAAAACAAGACAGAGGTCTACAGCCACACGAGCAACTCTGTGAGGCTGCACTTAAAGTGCTTTGTGATCAATGCTAACATCAGCATGTTAATATGCTCACAATGGCAATGTGAAAATGCTAATGTTTAGTAGGAATAATATTTACCATGGTCATTGTCACGGTGCTAACTGGTTGCACACTGGCTGGATACTTTCCAGTTTTGGCAACTCTCTTATTTTTTCCATCTTGCCAGCACAATACATCTGTAGTCCTATGTGTTACTAAGTTGTGAAGCCCTGACCCTGTGGCTAAGTCATGTTGGAATAAGAAACAAATGTGGGTATAGCATGCTAACCTACAAACACAAGTCTTTTCTGGTCATTTCAGTATGCATACAGTCATCAGTTATACTGTCAATTTAATATGACTAAATTCATACATTAATACATGCCATCCAAATTCAGTTTTTGGTTACTGGCACCTACAATTTTATCGCATGAGCTCCAGTTAGTGGTGGAGCAGCTAAATGGAAATCGTCCATCATTAATTTTATAATTTAAATCAGTGTTTTCTTACTATGGCATGTCAAAATGTCCGCTGTGAAAAAGGCCTATACTGTAGTTGTTGAGACATTTCACTCAGTACCTAAAATGAAACTAATGTGTCACTGGTGCTGGAGAAAAAGACATGGGATCACCACTCAGAGGGTTTCATCCTCTGGGGACCATGACTGTCTGTGCAAAATTTCAGAACAATCCACTCAGTGGTGGAACAACCAGCTGACAGAGCCATCCCTAAAGCCATGCCGCCAGTGTGTCTAAAAACGAGGGAGTGGTTTTTATGAGTTGCTCGCTTTTTTTCTCGACTGTCTCCACATACTCTTCTGGCTTAGCGAGCAGGCAAACAAGCTACCTGGTAACATATTAAACTATAGCTGCTGTGGCAGGGCCACCGGCTGCTGAGTCAGACAGTCGCAGCACCAGCAGCTGAATCCTTTGGTTTGAGTTAATATTCTGCACAGTGGTGTCATCTGAATGCTGATAAGCAATAATTCACTATCTACAGTGTGTCATCTGTCATTTCACAGTTGCTGCAGAAAAATGTTTGGTCCACTGTCACAAGGATTTTGTGTGTATAAAATATGTTGATGGTTCCTGAGAAAATGTCTACTGGCCTCAGGAGTCTGCTCCCTGATTTAAGGTTTTCCAACAATGTAACTCTGCTTATGATTATTATTATTACTATTAATAGGCATAAGGCAATGAAATAATTAAAGTGAAACAATGACATTTTTAAATAAAATATTAAGAGCATATATAACATATAGTACATACATACATACATTTTTTTGTCTGTAAGTTTGCTTGGATGACATATGTTTTGAATTGGAACAACTTCTTCTTACACATGCATTAGTGTACTATATTTCTTTGAGAATCTTGAATATAACAGACTTTTAATTTATTGTCAGTCGACCAGCTGCACGGGTGACGAAGGTTCTCAGCTTTGTAAAAGGAACAGACTTCATTCACTGATGTAACTGTCGTCTCTGATTAAACTGCAGAATTACTATGCAACAACTCCTCTTATCCGCTCTTTACCAATATTTGAAACAGCTCACGTAAGACATCTGCTCCAAACAACCGTCTGTGTGTGTCTGTGTGTGTGTGCTCTGTGTGTGTGGTTGCTGTAGGGAGCACAAAGTTGGGGTCGACAAACAGTGCATCAAATGAAATATTTTACCATAATTACAAAGAAATACAGAGCCAGATATTGGATGTCTTTTGCCCGCCATGCCCTTTCCGTCAGCAGGCACTGCGAACAACATACAGGAACAGATTTAACTCTTCTCTAAAAATCAGGCACACACATTAGAAAATTTCAGAGTTGCTCAACTCATACTGAGAGTGAAGCTCTCCTGATCAATATTCCTTTGGAGTATGGTGGGGCGTAAATGAGCTAGACACACTAAAAGCCAACAATGCCTGACAACCCAAGCTGTTCTGCACCCCGTGGATCATCTTATCAAGCCTATCACGGCTCTGCACCTCCGTGTGCTTCTCCATGGCAGGGTTCAGGCTATTTTGAGTGCTTTCAGATCCATGAAATTGGATGTGAATTTGCATTTTTTGTGCTAGCTACATCAATGTGACCCATTGTAATGAATGAGAGGCGATTGTAGAGAAGAAAAATTGAAGCCATTCTGTTGGAGTGTGAGCTCGAGGGCAATTTGCGATGTGGTTACATTTGTCACCTAACCACTGGACAAAAGGCATAAAGAGTTTTTAAAACTTTCCAAAAGGGGCTTTATTTTAAGTTATCTAGCAATGGTATAATTTACCTCCATTAAGAGGTTATTCTGTGTTTCTCATGTATGCTGACCAGTCGCAGCAGGTTTGGATAGAATATACTATTAAAAAATTGTAGAACCCTCTGGCGTTTATCCTACTAATCAAACAGCACTGTTCACAAAGACGTTTCATTTTACATTTGAAATAGAATATTAGTATGAACGGTAATTATCATCTGGTAAATGTAAAAAGGTTTCTCTATCACTACTTTCCAATTTCCTTCCCACGAGATGTGAACTTGGCATAAACTTGTGGAATTACAGCCAAAGCTGATGGGATTTTTGTCATTGGTTTTTAATGCATTTTGTGATTAAGTTGAAATTTGAACCAGCTGCTGGCTCAAGATGAAATACCAGGGTATCATCAAAGTCCATCAATCCAGTGACCAAGGTTGTACAGCACTGGACCAAAGTGCTAGATTGCTAGAATTCCTACTGTCATGAATAAAAAAGAAAACTATGTAAAAATAGACAAAAATGCCCTAAATATGTTTTCACAAGAGCCACCTCCTTTTTCTAACCAAGCCAAATCAGTTTTGGAGCTGCAAAATTGAAACAGCCAAGGCTGTGTGAGTTGCCAGTGAGTTCGTCACCTCCCACCCAGCTGTAGTCAAACGGCAATTAGAAAGAGCCTTGGAACCAATTTTAATGTGATGACATCCACTGATTTTTCATCTTCACTGACTAATGCCATCATTCTATAAAGCCTTTTTACCTAATGACTCACTTTTCCTGAATTACTTAAAAAGGCATGGAAGTGTGTTTTAATGCATCTAAAATTCAGGGCTTTAAATGAAGAAATGA